TGGCAGATTGAATCCCACTAGGCTCAAGGTTGACCCAGCCTTCCGTCCTTCCAAGGTGGGTCAAATGAGGAGAGCCAGATTGTTGGGGGAAAGAGGCTGACTCTGTAAACTGCTTAGAGAGGATTGTAAAAGCACTGTATATAAGTCTAACTACTATTGCTGTTCCTTCCTTATCTTCTTTCCTTATCTTCCTTCCTTCCTCCCTCCTCCCCTTTCAGGTTTCGTTTCCTTCCTTCCTTCCTTCCTTCCTTCCTTCCTTCCTTCCTTCCTTCCTTCCTTCCTTCCTTCCTTCCTTCCTTCCTTCCGCTATGGTGTTGCAGTAGTTATAATGCATAACTGCAGAGTACTTCCACTGACTGCTGGCTGACTGCAATTTGGCAGTTCGATTCTCACCAGGCTCAAGGTTGACTCAGCCTTCCATCCTTCCAAGGTGGGTAAAATGAGGACCCAGATTGTTGGGGGCCAGAGGCTGACTCTGCAAATTGCTTAAGAGGTCTGGAAAGCACTGTGAAGTGGTATATAAGTGCTATTGCTATTCCCAATGACCAGTGAAATCAGAAAAGGCTATTTCTCCTAGAATAGGGGTTCCCAACCCTCCTAGTCCATGGACCGGTATCAGACATGCCAGAAACCAGTCTGCAGAAACAAGCAAAGCCCTCTCTGTGGGATGAAGGCAGCACATGTAGCCACACACTCCTCCGGGCCATGGAAAAACCTTTCTCCACAGAACCAGTCCCTGGAGCTTCAAAGGGTTGGGGCTGGTGATCCAGAACACGGTGTAACAAAGTGAGAAGGCGCACCCCTTCCCCAGAACCTGAGAGGAGTAACAAATGATCAGGGGTCTATAAGAGGAGAACCTGCACTCTCGATAAAAAGGCGGCAGTTGAGTTGTATCTTCTAATTTCGTGGCTCTCTTCCTCTCGTTTCTGCTTCGTGTTTCATCCAATAGCAGAGTTCTCTGCGAATGGATGATCTAGAGATACATCTGAATTCAGGCTGATGCTTCCTTTGGATGACAGGAAATTTAGTCTGACATCTCTGAAGGGTACAAGGCTTGGGTAAAAGACCAATTTAGATCAAGGATATGAAAATTATCTCTCATTTTCTGTGACATAGCTAGAATTTTGGGGCGTTCAGGATTTGTGGTTTTAAACATGTATTTTAAAGAGCTGTTTAAGCTAAATTTATCCACTGTGTGTGTGTGTGTGTGTGTGTGTGTGTATCTTTGGTTATTTGCATTTTCTCCCACGTAAAATTGGAAGTATCTAGGCAACATTTCAATGAAGTCTCATTCATCATCTTCAGGCTTGTGCCTTCGACTTTGTGCTTCTCGGAGTAATGTGAGCTTGCAGCTGCTTCTTCCTTTTAACTGCTAGTGGGGGTGTGACTTGATTGGGTGGGGGCTTGGCTGTGTTCTGATTGGATGGGGGTGTGTTCTCATTGTTTGGGGTTTTGGCTGTGTTCTGATTGGCTGGGGGTGTTTTCTGTTCAGGTGGGGGCTTGGTTGTGCTCAGGCTAGTCTTAGTTGCCAGGGGATTTGAGCTGGTGAGCTGTGATCCTGTTGTTTGGCTTCACGTTCGTGGTTGTGCCACATCTTCATGGTGTGCATCAGTTTGCTTCATGTATGGGTCGGAAGGGTTTGAAGCAGGTAGTGATGCAGCTGTGGTATGGCTTCTGGTCCGTGGTTGTGTCTCATCTTCTGTGTGGGTGTGAGTCTGCTTTCTACGTGGAAGTGTGGTGGTAGCATCTTGTGTGGCCCTCGTGGGTGTGGGTCTGGTGTCATTCTTCATGTAAGGTACTCGTCTGTTCATGAGGATGGGTTTCCAAATGGCTGGTAGGCAGGAGGTGTCATCTCGTTTATTCATGCTGTGTGAGCATTTTTCTATCTCTATGGCTTCTCTGATTATTCTGTTGTTGAAGTGTTCGGTTTTGGCGATAGTTCTGGTATTTTTAAAGTCAATCTCATGTCCTTTGGCTTTGAGGTGTTGGACCAGGGAAGAGGTCAGTTCTTTTTTTTTGATTAGAACTCAAGAGAGAGAGAGAGAGAGAGAGAGAGAAAAATGATTGCAGCTCTTTATTATGAATTTGACTAGTTTTGTATCCTGGGGTGGAAGAAAAATGTCAAATTCCAATTTTAATGTGGATTTACACTTTTATACTTCTGAAAGCTGTGGACAAACCAGAACAAGTTCCTTCATAGCTGCTGGATTTTATGACTTCATTTGAAAACAGAGAAATAGAAAATTGTCATGTTGAGGAAGTCTGAGAGCAAGATTCATTTTTCATAATATGCCAGTTTATATTACTGGAAAGTGTTCACACAAACGTTTCAACTGCAAAAAATAATGTGAACTACTTATATTTATTTTATTCTTTCTCTTATCTATTTATCTACACTGTCTCTCTGTGTGTGTCTCATCTACCTGCCTGTCTATCCTTCCACCCATCCACCTGTATGTCTGTTTGTCTGTCTGTTTGTCTGTCTGCCTACCTTCCTACCTACCTACCTGTCTGTCTGTCTGTCTGTCTATCATCTATCTATCATCCAGGGGTGAGATTCAAATTTTTTAACAACCAGTTCTGTGGGTGTGGCTTAGTTGGTGAGCATGGCTTGGTCATGTTATTGGTTCGGTGTGACCAACTCAATATCACTCACATTGAGGCACACATCTCCTTGCCTGGCCTCTCATGACTGTGGGGATACTGCAACAGTTATAAGTGTGAAAAACGGTTATAAGTCACTTTTTTCAGTGCCATTGTAACTTAGAATGGTCACTCCACACAAGCAAAGTACCAGCAAAGGAAGGGAAAAAAACTCCAGAGAAGTTCCAGAGACAGGAAGTCTAGTCCTGCCAAGAATTGTAATAAGGATTAACAGAGAGGCAGTTTCTGTAAGCAACACCAGAATGTTTCCTTCCTACCTTCCTTATAGGATTAGGCCAGTCTAACAACTGGTTCTCTGAACTGCTTAGAATGTTAACAACCGGTTCTAGTGAATAGGTGCAAACTGGTAGAATCCCACCCCTGCTATCATCTGTCTGTCTGTCTGTCTGTCTGTCTATCCTATCCTATCCTATCCTATCCTATCCTATCCTATCCTATCTAATCTATCTATCTATGTAATCTAAACTATCTATGTATCAATCATCATCTATATATCCATCCATCCATCTATCCATCCATAATACATATATATCTATCCATCTCTCTCTCATCTATTTCTCATCTATTATCTATCAGTCTATCTATCTATCTATCTATCTATCTATCTATCTATCTATCTATCTATCTATCTATCATGTATATATCCATCCATCCATATCTATCCATCCATCTCTTTTTCTCATCTATCTTCCTTCCTTCCATCCATCCATCCATCCATCCATCCATCCATCCATCTATCATCTATCTAGTCTAATCTAACTATGCATTGATCTTTCTCTCTCTCTCTCATATCTTTGTGTTGATAACAATCCCTTGAGTTTTAAGCAGATTTGTTTTATCTAAAAAAACCTCCATGCAGACAGGTGACAGAACAAAAATAGGGAAAAAGCAAAGAAAATAAGTCCCCGAGTCACACAGATGAGCCCATATCTAGGAATTTATTCTTATATGCTAATTATCTGAAAGGCTATGACTTGTGTTTGATATGAAACCCAGTCATTTTACCCTGAATTAAATTTGCATGGGATAAATGATATTCCCATTAACCCTGGTTGTACCTGACCTCTCACATTCCTAATATTAAAAAAATCCTGAATAATTAACTTTCATGATTAAGAGAGTGGAAATTGTATGCAAAATTAGAAAATAAAGCCTGGCTTATTTTGCAATTGAAGCAGAAGGTATGATCCCTGTGAACCAGCATTTGAGTCCCAAGGCACACAGTTGACCCAGGTCTGTTTTTATATGCACACATCCAGTTGTTCAATTCTGGAATATGCAATCCAACTTTCCAACACTTCAATTCTTTTCTCCCAGGTACCAAAGAACCTATTTCTCATCTTTGGCTGTTTTAAACAAATCCTCCAGCATGAAGAAAGTTGTCTTAAACCCTTTGGCTCTTTAGAAATATATATCTGTGTATAACTATCATCTATCTATCTATCTATCTATCTATCTATCTATCTATCTATCTATCATCTATCATCTGTCTATCTCATCTATTTATCCATCTGTCTATCAAAAAGAGTCTAAAGAAAAGAGAGAAAAAAAGTTGTTACAGTTTTTAAAGACTTTGAGAAATCCAAGCAATACTTTTATCTGATTCATATAAAAATATACTTATTGAATCAGTCAGGGTGGGGTTCCCTAATTGGATGCCTACAAGAGATGTTGGACTCCAACTGCCATCATCCCTATTGCACCACTTTTGGAGAGCTGCAGATTGATAATAGGTATCCAGCAGTGTGCATCCATGGTGATGGAGTATCCAGGAGGAAGTTTCCAGGTTGATGAAGAGTATCAGGTTGATTGAGAGTGTCCAGGAAAAGATTTCTAGGTTGATGAAGGATACCCAAAAGATGCAATCTTGTTGTTGATAAAGGCTATTCAGGTTGATGAAGAGTGTCCAAAAGCTGGAATCCAGGTTGATGAAGAATATCCACAAGATGGAATCCAGGTTGATGAAGAATACCCACAAGATGGAATCCAGGTTGATGAAGAATACCCACAAGATGGAATCCAGGTTGATGAAGAATACCCACAAGATGGAATCCAGGTTGATGAAGAATATCCACAAGATGGAATCCAGGTTGATGAAGAATACCCACAAGATGGAATCCAGGTTGATGAAGGGTTTTCAAGAGAGGTTATCCAGATTGATGAAGAGTATCATGCTTTTGGCATAATTCTTGCCCACACCTACTTTAGTTAGCATCTTTGGGCTATGTCTGACCCAGGTTTATGCCTTCACACAACCCAAGAGATCATGACTGATTCTTCCTATATCCCTCCTCTCCCCCCTTGATTCTACAGCAGTGCTAACCTGGCTTTTTCTCAGCCAGCCCTGGCAGTCAAGAAGATGCAGAGATGTCAGTGTGGGCCTTAATTTGCTACTCTGTGCTGTCAGTAGAAGCCTAATTTACTTATGAGGGGCTGAGCTAGTCCCATCAGGTCTTTTAGCTTTCAAGTAAGCTGCTTTGCTCAGCACTGCCATGGGTCAGAAGGGGTGGTGTTGGACTGAGTGCAGCTGCTGTGGGGAGTGAACATTGCAGGGATATTGATGGTGCAACTAATTTAGTTAGTGGATAGAATTTCTAAATGAATGAGGATTCATCTTGTCCCAGTGCTACCGACTGCCAAGTCAATAGGCGAAGCGTTACTAATTTCGGTGTTCCGCTTAATTCACTACTGTGGTTCTTTTTTTTTGCTGAGCCAAACAAGTAATAACATTGCTTCTAGGTAATTGAGATAAACCCTTTAATCCTCTATTCTTTTTTTTTTTAAAGCAACTTTTTAAAAAGCAGAAAGTGGCTCTCTTCCAAATTTCCATCCCAGAACTCCATCAACCAGGTCAAAATAAGATCTATCTGGTCCATTACTTGGACAGGGGCTCAGTCAGATACCTTGGCTTTCTCCAAGCAGGTGTGATGACTCTGGTGGCCTTTTTCTTCTTGCTTGACTTAGGATCTAAACTACAGTAGAATTGCATTCTGCTTTGATACGCGAAAATTCAATTTAGCTGTCACAACTAATAACCACGGAAAAAGCTGCCTTCCATGAATTATTCTAAACCCCTTTTTTAAAAAAGTGAATGAAACCAGAAGGTTTGGGAAAGGAGAAAAGGTTTACTCTTCTCCCTGGACTGTTTATAACTTCATAAATATCACTACTGCTGTTCCACCACAACCAATTTGTTTCTTCTAAACAATTATGCAGACAAACAGAAATAAAATTCTCATCATCCTTATATTCTTGTTTTCAAAAGTTCTTTCTGCTGCCGCAACCTTCCCTCCCCCCCCCCCCCCCCAGGAGTTCAAAGTCACATGCTTAGTGTCTTCTCCTTCTCTCATGTGAGGCAAGTAGAAAATGGATGGAAAACCAACCAAGGAAATTTCCTTGACAAGTGAGAACAATTAATCAGTGGAAGGGCTTCCCTTCAGAAGTTGTGGATGCTCCATCACTGGAGGTTTTCAAAGAAGAGATTGGACGGCCATTTGTCTGGGATGGAGTGAGTAATGCGTGAGCAGGAGATTGGACTAAAAGATCTCCAGGGTCCCTTCCATCTCTCTTATTCTGTTTAAGATAATTAGCTCAAAGTTTTCTAGTGAGCTTCCATAGCTAAGGATGCATCTCCTCAATGCTGCTGATACTTTTAATTCCACCTTACTTATCAGTGAGGTGATACTGATGCTGGGATCACAAAAGGCCGAGGTTTGCATTTAGGCAATGTATTCTGAACATGGAAGGCCAAAATAATCTCTCTCTCTCTCTCTCTCTCTCTCTCTCTCTCTCTCTCTCTCTCT